ATAGCCATGTAGCCTTATAGCCATAGATCCTTAAAGCCCTGTAGCCCTATAGACGAAAAAAACCATAGCCCCATAGCCCTATAGCCCTATAGCCAAATATCCCTATAGCCCTATAACCCTATAGCATTATAGCCCCATAGCCCTATCGCCGTAGAGCCCTGTAGCTCTATTGCCCTATAGCCCATGCACTAAAGCCCTATAGATGTTGTAGCCCTATAGCCCTACAGGCCTATAGCCCTATGGCTCTATATGCATGTAACTCTATAGCCCCATAGCCCCATGGCCCCATAGCCCTACATCCCTTTAGCCCTATAGCCGTATGGTCCTATAGCCCCATAGCCCTATAGATTCATAACCCTATGGTCCATAGCCCAATAGCCCCATATCCCCAGAGCTACATAAACCCATAGCCCTATAGCCCTGCAGCCCTATAGCCCTATGGCCCTATAGCCCTATGGCCTTATAGCCTTAAAGACCTTTAGCCCCATGGCCCTATAGCCCTATAATTCCATAGCCCTACAGCTCAATCGCCCCATAGCCCTATAGCCCTAAAAAGACTTTGATTGCTTCGTCTTCGGTCTCATTATGTTATGACATGACATGGTATGCTGTGACATGGTAGGATATGATATTGCATGTTTTTGGTATACTCCGACATGTGCTGCCATGCTATGGCTCACTATGATATATGTTTGCGTTGGTACGTTCTGATATGACATGCTACGATATGTTGGCGATGGTGAGGAGGATTATGCTGATGGTGATCATGATGCAGCTGATGATGATGATAATGATGATGCTTGTGATGATGATGATGATGATGATGATGATGGTGATGATGATGGTGATGATGATGATGATGCTGATGACGATGATGATGCTGATGATGCTGTTGATGCTGATAATGATGATGATGGTGATGGTGATGACGGAGCCAATTGTTCTGAGGATGTCTCGAGCGAGGCGCGGGTTTCAGCACCCCCAAGGGGTAGCCGCCAGGGGGTATTGCACTCCTTTGTTCGCGCCAGAGTTGCGGGGATGTCTCGAGCGGGTTGCCTGTTTCACCACCCGACACCCTCCGCTTTCAGAGCAGATGGTGAGGATGTCTCGAGCGAGGCGCTCATGTTCGCCCCCAAGGGGGGCAGATTTTGAAGATTTCTCGAGTTGTTTGCTCATTTTGTTGACCAGACTCGTGGGCACGGATCCTTTTCAGGATGCCACATGAGGCTCTAGCAGGCTCCAGGAGGCTCCAGGAAGCCACAGGAGGTATCAGGATGCCTTAGGAGGCCACAGGAGACCCAGGAGGCTCCAGGAGGCCCCAGGAGGCCCCAGGAGGCCATACGAGGCCCCCGGAGGCTTCAGGAGGCCACACGAGGCCCCAGGAGGCTCCAGGAGGCATCAGGAAACCCCAAGAGGCCCCAGGATGCTCCAGGAGGCCCGAGCAAGCCCCAGGAGGTTTCAGGAGACCCAGGAGTCCCCAGGCTCATGCGCAGAGACGCGATCGTGCTACTGAGACCCATTCACACTCCAACTCCTTCACACTTAGATTCGCTCCCAGACCGTCGACACTCAAGCCCGCTTATGTTCGAAAACTCTTGCGCCGAGACACCCACGGCGGGCAGGTCCATGCTAATAGATGCACATCTGGGAAGCCCCACGCAGTGAATAATTCTTTTCTGCACCTGAGATCACAACCCAGAGATCCGACGTCGCGAAGAAGTGCAATAAATTAAAGATCACGACCAGAGCCCAAGACCGTATCTATCTATGACATCGTTTTACGCATATCGATCCGTGATGGGCCCGGGTCCCGAGCCCGGGCAAAAATGTCAGTTATGGAAAAGCGCAAGGCTGGATCCCAGGAGATGTGGCCGCCTGGTTGGCGTGGCACTGATGCCGCCCCCGAAGTGCCGTGTTTGCATTTGTTGTAAAAGATGCGCACCCCAAAAGTTCCAGCCTTTTTTTCCCAGGGTTGTTGGATTATTTGATCGTCCCGAGTCGTTTGTTGTCAGTCCCGGGGCCGGCGAGGGCTTGCAGAGACCGGGAACGGACCCGAACCTCCGACCATCGTGATATGTTCACGACGCGAGCGTGCCCGGGCTATGAGGTGAATCTTGAAGGCCTCGCGCGACCCTTCGGCGGCGAGCCCAGGGGGGAAGTGAGAAGGGGCGGCCCTTCCAGATGGCTCGGATGTCCCCCGAAGACGCAGAAAAATTCTTCGAAGGCGCGAGGGCTTGAGAGAAGTCTCGCCGCCTTCTGAGAAGCCCTGTTCCTTCTCATGTTCCCCATCGCTCGCCGCCAATGGAGGCATATCGTGGCGCGCAGTAGTTGTATCATCTAGGCCACACGTCCACTCCGTAAGAGATGGGTCGACGTTTGCGCGGCGATGCGCCTTCTCAAGCCCGACGTGAGTCCGAGGCACATCTGACGTGATCCGACGGGAAGCCGACGTCAAGCCGTCGTGCCCTGAGATCTGATGTCTCGAAGCTAATGGAGGCATATGATTGAAAAAATACCCCACCCCCCCCCCCTCCCCCGGGGGGCCCTATCCGTGAAGAGTTGGGCGTACTACTAGAATCTGGGGGCCGAAACTGATTTTTTAATCGTCCCCCCCCAGCAACTTTAATCGTCCCCTCCCCTTTCCCCCTGAAGATTCTCGAT